GGAAAAGCTCATTCTTGCTTTTGTGCATCTCACTGTGTTCTTGACTACCTGGAGTACTTAGAAAACTTATACATCTCAGCCTTCACCAGAAGAAGGAAAATCTAATTGCTTGTTTTTTCTCACGTACCAACTTTCTTTCCCCTTGCTCCTGTGTCTTTCCCTCCATGGGTGGGGAGTCATTTATGGTCTTCTCAATCTGTAGACTATGTTCCTCTAGCCTCCTCATCATGTTTGCTTATTTGTTTTATTGATGATTTTTCTGTGTTGTGACAGGCAAGCCTTACTAGCCAGCCACAGATATACAGGAGTGTTGCTTAAGACCTCATCAAAAGTGAGGTCCACAGACCTACATACTTGAAGTCATCTAGGATCTTATTTGAAATGCAGAATCTTAGGCCTAGACTCAGACCTACTGAATCAGAATCTGCATTAAACTCGATCCCCAGGCAGTTCATGTGCACGTTACAGTTTGAGTTGCTCTTAGAGAATTTTGAGAAGAGTTATCATGTACCTTAGAATCTCATTCTCATCTGTGGGTTTTCAGATTCACTTTTGAAAATGTTGATTTATAGTTATTTCAAAGTTTAGTGGTCTGATAGGGCTCAGGTGCTCAATGTTCTTAATTGGAAGATGGTCCATAAGCTTTGGGTTCTGGTGTAGGTAGCACATAAACTATACACACTGAAGTTCCTGGTTGTCTGCTTGTTCGGATGGAGGGCATCCCTGTCCGATGCGACTGTGGCAGCAAAGGTGCCTGTGAGAAGGGCCATATTTTCTCCTTAGAAGGGCTTTGAATTTGCTCAAACACTAGGAACAAGTGCTTGGTTAAGGTCCCAGAATTCTTGGCACATAAAGCATAAAGAGGCAATTTTGGATTGGAACTTCCTTGGGTATTTGTTACCACCAGTGACCTTAATCACAGAGAAGAGTCTTTAAACTCCTGATTTGGGGTAAAACTGCATGTTGATGGTCCTGCCAGTTTGGGCTAATGCAAAACATATCCCTACCTTGAAAAGTATTTGAATAAGTTGACCTTTTGGGTGGGGTTCTTCAGTGTTGTCCATTTAAACAACAGGGCATATCTGCCAAGCATGGTGATTTTAGATCTATCAGAGTGATTCCTTGCTTTCCTTTTGCAGGAATTATCCAGTATGTTCAGTTACTTAAGGTATTCTTTATATCTCACAATAAAACCCCATCGTTGCACAGCGGTTCTCAACCTTGACTGTACATTGGAACCCTAAGTGTGCTTTCAAATATACCAATTCCTGGGTCCCCCAAGAGATGCTGACTTCATTGGTCTGGGTGAGACCTCGCTTTCAATGTGTTACAGAATTTTTTGATTCTAAGGTGCAGCCAGGTTTGAGAGCCACTGTCACGGCGGAAGGGCCTTACTTTCTGATTTACCAGTGTTACGTATCCAATGAATCCAGTACCTGTGTCACATTATTAGATATGTTCTAAATCACAGTCACCCACTCACTAGCTGTGCACCCTTGAAAGGGTCATTTAAAGTCCACAAGCCTCAGTTTCTTCTTCTCTAAAATAGGGGTCATTATTACATTAGAGGGTCATTGTGCAGATTTAAATAAAATATACAAGGTTACCAGGGCAATGTTTAGTACTCAACAAAATAGAAATTGTTGCAAAGGATGGTGGGCATGGCCCTACTTTGCACATTTAGAAGTGGAGCTTGGTCACCTTTGAGTCTGGTGGTGGTGCTACCATGCAGGCTTTGAATGGGAGTTCCAACTGAGCTTGTGCTACTGGCCCACAGGTGGTGCCTGAGTAAGATAGGAGTGCTCTGAAGAAGCCCCTCGTTGTTTCTAACTGTGGTAAGATGAAACAGAATGGAGCAGTACCCACTTACTCCTCAGGAGAGAGAAACCCAGTCCAGAAATCTGTTGAGAAGAAAACTGTGATAAAGTATCAAAGGACATCTAAGAGAAAGTAACAGGCATCATATTTGAGAATTAGATTGTTTCTCTTTTTTAAAATTTTTATTTATTTATTTGAGAAAAAGAGAGAGAGAGAGATTTGTTGTTCCACTCATATATGCATTCATTGGTTGATTCTTGTATGTGTCCTGTCCAGGGATTGAACCCACAACCTTGGCATATTGGGAGATACCCCACCAGTGCAATTGTTTCTCCTTTTTAAAGGGAAAGGCATTGCTGCTATAAACTCATAAAATAAGACAAAGTAAATGTGGGATGAGGAAGAACTTTCAGGGAAATTAAGGAGCCAGCAACATCTTGCATTATTTTGCTACCTATATTTTTTGCTAGTAATTATAAATTACTATTTATTTTGCTAGTAATTAGAAAATTAAAAATAATACTTCTTTATCCCTTTTAAAACCTGCGTACTTGAATATGAACCTATGATGAATATATGTGTGTGTAATGTGTATATATGTATAACATATATATATGTGTGTGTGAGACTTGTGTATATATAGTTTATATATTAGTATATATCTATATATCTATATATCTATACATATAAATATATCTACATATAGATATGTATTTCATCCATTTAAATATAAATCAGAATTAAATCAATAGCACTTAGAACCAAAGGTTTTCTGCTAGGATGAATTATGGAATCTACAAAATGTGACAATAATCAAGAGTATAAATTCAAGTAAAATTGCTCTCTTGTCCTCAATCAAAATACTGGCTCTATACTACTCTCACGCCAAGTGGACTCATGCTCTGAAATTTACTTTTATTAATTTAGCCACTCTGGCTGAGCTGAAAATCTGCCATTAAAATAGAGTCTAAAATATAGGGGTTTTAAAAAATAATTAAGCTTCTCATAAAATAATTTGAATATAATTTATGTATGGTGTTAACTGAGCTCTGGCCTAATTCTAAACTCTCTTTCATTTGGTTGCCAGAGTGGCCTTTAGGAAACAGAGACCCAGTTATATTATTCCACTACTCAAAAAAAGTTTAACAGTTTTAAATCAATGTTCTTAACTTGGCATTCAAATCTGGCCCCCACAAATCTGTTCTGTAACTACTCTCTAGTTTTAACTTTTCCTAAATGTTCTGTGATGCCCAACTCCACATTTTTATACCCTGTCCCATCTGTAAATACCTTTTCCACCTTATGTCCACCTTTCAAAACCTATGCATCTTTACACCCCAGCTCAAATGATACCTTCTTCAAGGGTATCTATCCCCAGTCTTCATTCCAAACACCACCTCATCCTACTTTGACTTCCTCCCCACTCATTTTACTTCTTCTACTACATATTAGAGCTTCATATTATTGCTAAAGCATCAATTACACTTTTCCTTGTGTTAGCAAATGTTTGGGAAGCAATATTTACTTTTGAGCCAGACTAGACCAGAGTTAAACCCTGATTCTTAGACAAGTGACTTAATTTTTCTGAATTTCAGCTTTTTCATGGGTAAATTGAGAAAATATTACCAAATTTATATGGATTGGTAGGGAATAGTATATGATAATATGCAGTAAAGGTCTCCAATAAAGGAAAGCTATTATTACCACAGTGGTTCAGATCATCTCCCTGACTAATTCATCAACAGTACCTTACAGCATCTTATTCTCCAAAGTGTTTTCTGAATTGAATGGAAGCAGCCCAAACCAATGGCATCTGCTGCCTGGATCTCACTGAGCTATTAGTTTTTCAACATCTGTTTTGACTTTCAGAAAGAATGTCCATTTTTAGGCATCAGCAGCATTTTCCTGTGGCATTTCAATATGTCTCAATCTTGAAATGATTATCATTTGTGCTTGATTGAATCCAAATCAGCAATGCCATGGAGAACATCCCAGCCCACGAGCATGTCTACTTTACGTAGGCCCAAGAGAGCATAGCCCTCTGTACAAAGAGCCTGAACACCAAGGAACACTGTGTCAGCTTCTAATGACATTGCCCTTTACTCAGATGTCTAAATAGTGGCAGTAGTGGAGCTTAAAAAGCTCTTAATTATCCAGAATACTGCAAAACAGGGATAGCACAGAAAACCTGGTTTTCTTCAATATTTAGAGTGTTGGTAACTATACTGGATGCACTCAGAATGTATTTATAAAAACAATTATAGATGCTATTCTCTTGACTTTTAATTTCTTTGTAAACCTTTCCACCAAAAGAATCCACCATTTTCTCCAGTAGGTTCTGATTTATTTCCTATGGAAAGCAGAATTTTCTAAACCACTATTTTTCATGAATCTTGAGTCCCCATTTCAGCACCAAGGACAGAGTATCACGTGGCTTAATGCCCACCCATCCTACTTAATTAACAAAAATTTAAATGTTTAAAAATTTTTGTTCAAATGTTTTTGGTATGATATACAAAGACTCACTAGCCCATCGAAGCTCTCAGTGTAGAACTAAGGCAGGATATGGACAAGATAAACAAGCTAATAATGATTATAACACTATATGACAAGTGCTATTACAGAGTTATGTACAAGTCACATGAGAACCAGGGAAGGGAATGATTAATTGATTGGTAAAGAAGTGCTTTACAAAGGGGCTGATATTTGAGCTGAGTGGTGAGAATTGAGTGAACTTTGCAATACAGAGAAGAAATGCCATGAAGAGTACACAGTTTATTTGGGGATTTCTGGAAATTTGGTTTGATGTGGCTGAAACATGGCAAGCTAAGGTTAGAATTAAGAAATAGACTAGATTACCACATACTTATATATTAAGATAAGGAGATTATGCTTTATCCTAGAAAAACTGAGAGCCACTGAAAGGTTTTTGAGCAGGGACATAGCCTGATTAGACCTGTGTTTTAGTAAGCTAGTTCATACAGCAGGGGAGAGAGTATACTGGGGGGGGGGGGGAGAAAGAGAAGAAATGAGAGGACAGAAGGGTAGAGTGACATTTATCCGTACGGTCCTGGGAATGAGGGACTGCTCCATCATAACCAAGGTTAGACAGGGAGAATTTACTTGGCTTATCTCCCACCAGCTGTTCACCAATGTTTCACATGTGGACTCTGTTTCTCCAGATTCTTCCAAGAAGATAAAGGATGTCTTGGCTGAATTTAATGAGAGTGGAAGCCTCAAACAATCTGACTCCCACGAGGTAAGAAAATTTTCATTTCAAGCCTGTAAAAATTCCATAATTCAGCCTTTCTACAATTTTTTTCTCCTCTTGGAAGTTTAGCTCACATTGAAGAACTTGTTACTCAACATATATTTTCCTGTCTCAAGTGAGTTATTGGTGCTACCTGGAATTATACATTTCCCAAGTCCATTCACCCTCTCACTGTCCTATAAACCACATCATACCTTCTCCTCAAATCTCTTATTCCTCCTCATTTTCAGTTAACCACTGCGTTTTATGCTTCATGAAAAAAAATGGAAACAGCCCTAGCTGGATAGGATAGAGCATCAGCCTATGGACTAAAGGGTCCTCGGTTCAATTCTGGTCAAGGGCACATACCCAGGTTGCAGGCTCAATACCCAGTAGGGCACACAGGAGGCAGCCGATCAATGATTCTCTCTCATCATTGATGTTTCTATCTTTCTCTCCCTCTTCCTTTCTCTCTGAAATCAATATATATATATATATTTAAAATGGAAATAGTCAGAAGAGATCTTCCATAAGATCTCTACTCACCTACATACCTTTTCTCCTGTAACAAGGTATGAAATCTCCATGCCGTTAATTCTAGCCCCTCTACTGTGCACTCAGTCCTATCCTCTTTTGATCTATTGACAGGCATTGCTTCAGCAACTCTATCTATCTATCATCTATCTATCTATCATCTATCTATCTTCTATCTATCTATCTTCTATTTCTACCTCTATTTCCTTCACTTCAGTCCTCTCTATATTTTATTTTTCTCATAAATATATTTCTCCTATATTAAAAATGTTCTTCAGATTCCACTTCTCCCTCTAGCTACTATCTCATTTCCTTCCTGTCCTTTATAGGAAATCATTTATTGTGCAAAAGATTTGTCTGTACTCATTGCCTTCAATTTCTCTTCTTCCCACATTCTTGAAAGCTTTGCAATTAGCATGTAGCCCCTACTCCCCCTCTGAAACCACTAGCCTACAAAGCCAAGGATTTCCATGTGGCTAAACTCAATCACTACTTTACTCAACAGAATTGGTTGAGTAAAGTATATTTGGACATGGTTGGCCAAATTCTCTTCCACTTTCTTCACTTGGTTTTCAGGATACCAGTCTCCTAGTTTCACTCCTGGTTTAAAAATCAAATAAGTATCTCATAATTAACATGCACTAAACTAAGCTCCTTGATCTTCTCCTGTAAAACCTATTTTCCCAGCAGTCTTTTCATTTCAGTAAATGGAAATTCCATTTCTCAAGTTATTCAGCCTAAAACTATGGAGTCATCATTGACTTTTCTCTTTTTCTCACATCCCACATCCAATTCGCCAGCAAACCCTGTCACTTCTATGTTTAAAATATACCCAAAATCTAGCCACATCTCACCACTAGCAGTGCTCCCAACCTGGCCTGAGTCATCATCACCATATTCTGCCCAGATTATTGCAGTAGTCTCCTAACTGGGCTCCCTGTTTCTGCTCTTTGACTTTTAAAGTCTATTCTTCACACACATCCTGAGCAATCTGCTAAAACTTAAGTCAGATAATGTCACTGCTCTGCTCAATAATCTCTCATGGTCCCCCGCCCCAACCCCTACTCAGAATAAAAGTCAAGGTCACTACAATCTGCAGCTCCCCGTTCGCTATGTCCCCATCTCTTGCTACCCTCCTCTCCTCATTCCTTTCCAGCCATATTAGCCTCTTTGATGCTGTCAAATAAGCTGCGGCCGCCCTAATCTCAGCACCTTTGCACTTGCTTTTGCCTCCCTAGAATGTTCTTCCTCCAGATAAACACATTGTTCATTTTCTCACCTCAAGTGTTGACTCAAGTCATTTTCTTAGTGAATATCACCTTCTCTATCCCACTGCTCTGCCTCATTTTCTTCCTTAGTACTTCTCACCATCTGGCCCACTATGTAACTCACTTATTTGTCTATCTCTGTATAGACACTTATTTGTTCACTTCTGTGTCTCAGAGGCCCAGAAGAGTATTCAGAACATAGCAGACACTCAGCAAATGTTTGTTGAATAAATGATGAATGCAAGACCTCTCCCACTTTCAAATTCAACTCATCTAACATTCCTTGAACATCCAGGCACTGTGCTGGGTACTGCAGAACATATAAAGATGAGAAAGCATAGTTCCTCCCTTCTGGAACTTACTTCCTACTGACAGGGTCAAGTTTAAGAGTCATGACCCTGGACTCACATGGGGTTTATGTTAGGCCCCTACCTCTGCTGCCAACTAGCAATGTGGCCTTGAATAGTATTTCACCTCTTTGAGCCTCAGTGTTTCATCAGTGACCTGAAGATAACAATGACAACAAAAAGGACCTTGAAGTTTGCAGATAGTAGATTAAATGAGATAATGTTTGCAAAGTGTCTAAAGTTTCGACAAGACACTTAAAAATGTTACCCATCATTATTCCCCTTCTGTCCCAGTTCCCCAGAATGTTTTCACCTCAACTTCTTCCCTGTTCCTGGGTCGTGTTATGAGGGCCAGTTGCGGAAAAGTGACCAATCAGCCAGGCAAACTTGAGGAAAGGCTGGCCGCTTATTCATATTGTCACCCTTTCAACAAACTTTGAGTCAACATCTCTGCTGGGCACTGGGCAGGAATCCACAGAGCTCATGCTCTTCAGGTACATCTGGGAGGGGCGTTAGATAAAATGCACCCGTCATCAAGAGAAGAAAGCCAGAGGAAGGTTGCTGGAACTGAAGCAAGACTGAGTATGCACCATTTCAAAAGACATTCCTGAAGAGAAGCCATGCGGGGAAGATGGCAGAGCCAACAAAGAACTCTCAGCCTCCCCCCCACACTCCCAGCCCAGCTCCAAAAACATAGGAACAAAGCCTGCGGGGACTGCTAATCAACCTGTCCGCCCTGAAGCTGGCAAGTGGGAGGGGAACAATTTGGTCAGGGCCACCCAGGGTGTGAAGGCCACAGGAGCTTTCAGAAGCAGGGAGCAGCAGCTCGGCTGTTATGAGCACTCTGCCACTCCCACCGCCATCATGCTGGCCCCCACTCTTTTATGTACAACACTGCTGTGTCCCAGGGGAGTTCTGTCACTCTGATTTCATTCCCCTTCACAGTGTGGCTGACTTCTAATAGGTGTAATGTCCTGGCATGGGGTTGGGGAAACAACAGGGCTTAATTTCTCTTAAGCTTGATGACTTACTGCTGCTAAAGTGTCTCCACGAGAAACAAGCTAGCTGTGGGAAGGGTCAGGTGACTAGCAGAGCGAAGTGGGGAATGAAAGTCTGTAGAGTGACAGGGCTGCACCTGGCCATGCGCAGCGTGCCCTGGCCCATCAGCACTGTGTAGTTCTCTGGAGAGCGGAGTGCAGCTGAAGAGAGTCAGGAAGTGACAAGAGCATCAGAATGAAAGGGACATGATGGCTTGGTGGCACCATGACCTGAAACTGAGACACACCTATACACAGATCAGTTCTGACACTGCTTTATGACTTTGAGCATGTTATTTATGTTTCAGAATTTTTTTTTCATCCACAAAGAACAGTAACAGTCCCACCTCCCACTATTGTTTTTGAACTTAAGGGAGACCATGCATGTAAAGTGCCCAATGCACAGTAAACGCTCCATCTAGCTCCCTTCCCTTCTTGAACAGTGTAAGAATGAGCACACTCTCCTTACACAGGTTGCAGCAACAATTGCCCAGCCATATGGCATATGGACCAGGCCTTACATGAAAGTTGCAAGAATTTTTTTGGTGGGCTAACAGCTACTCTGAATCTGGCCTGTGCTCATAAAGAACACACTCTCTCATAATCCAGGTGCCATTTTGGCAATGGCACAGAGTCATATTTGTTGGCAACTGAAATTGGGGTGTTTAGAGGGAGTGGCAGGGCACATGATGTCAGCACTGGGACCTCTGGTAGATACAGTAACAGGAGCACTGGACTAGGTGTCAGAAGATCTGGCTTTTGGTTTTACTCTGCCACTAGCTAGGGGGTCGGGGTGGGGGGACAATCACTGAACTTATAGGCTTCAGTGGTGTGAGAAGATCTAGTCTCCTCTGAACTGTTTTGATGTGAATGCTCTGTGTTTCCAGGCTTATTCTATACCACCCTCTTCCGTCGTAGGATAGGAACATAAATAATTAAACATGTGTTCATTCATTATTGTTTTCTAAGTTCTTGAAACACTTTGTTCATCCTTTTCCTATGGTACTCACCACTGTTGACCTGTTTTAGATTTATTTCAATACCTTTACCATATATATAAATATGTATGACTGAATCTCTTGAAGGTATGGACCGTGCTTAACTATTTGGTGTGTTCCTCAGTGCTGTCCAGCACTGTCTTATACTTAGGAGACTCAGTTTATATATGAATGGACCCCCAATAATTGATGAGAGTCAACTGTACCAATTAGGAATCCAACATTCATTAAAATACCCATCAGGAAACACTGTGCTAGGTAGTAATGGGAAAACAGAGATGAAATATGACATTTCACTACCTTCCAGGATCTCTACATCTAGTCAGGGAACATATATCACAGGCAACTATATATTAATAGAGGGCAGCAGATATGAGTGTCCCAAAACAGGAACCAAGGTGGAAAAGTAAAGCAATTCAGGCACAGGAGGTCATGCCAGGACCCCTGGAGAAGGTGGAATATGGACCAGACCTTAAAGGATAGCTGGAGTTTTAACAAGTAGAGACAGAAACAGTTCATGCAAAGCGCATGGTGGGTTGGCCAGAGAAGGACACAGAGATCCAGGTAGAAAGCCTGTGGAGGTATACAAAGGCACTAATAGGAGAAAAGACCAGAATGGTCTCAGAGCTTGAAGTAACTACAAATCTAGGTTGGAGTGGGATTATGGGAGGGCTGTGAATCCCAGACTCAGGGAGTGCACAGGAGATCATTGTACTGTGGAAATACTACATGTTAGACCTTCTTTTTACATCTATCTTTATTTCATCTAATTTCTTTTCTGTGTATGATTTATAAAGTAAAATAGAGGAGCACATCATACATGTATATAATTTATAAGTAAAGATAAATGTTTTGTTTCAAAATGTTATGGATGTTGAAAAAAATGTTACGGGTGCACACGTAATTTTAAAAATTTGGATACAACCATCTCAACTCTCCTGTGGGCAATTAGAAGCCATGGAGATTTCTGAGTAAGGAAGCATTCTGCTTCAGGAAGGTCAACCTGGCAAGGAAGGATAAGATGGGAAGGCCAGCAGATGGAGGTGGAGGTAAGGAAGCCTTTGAGAGGTATTGCCACAGTGCAGGTAGGATATGTGCAACAGAAGTCTGAAATCAGGGTCAATGGGTCCTGCAAGAGGGCCCTGCAAAGGCCCTCTTGTCAGGGTGGTGGTAGATGGGCAATGGACAAAAGCAGACCTGGATGTGACAGACATTGCAAAAGAACAGCAGACAGAAGGGAGAGACAAGAACTAGTCACAGACTACTGGGAGTTCAAAGCTGAGCCTGGGATGTTGGGAGGATAATGGCATTATTGACATTAACAGAAACTGCAGGAAGAGGAGCTGGTATAGGGAGGAAGCTAATTGAGGTTTAGAACTTGAGGTCTCCTAGCCCAGCACTCACAATATGCTGAAGAATAAATGGAGGTTAAAAGAAGGGAGAACCAGCCAGGATATCTCTTGAATCTCACACTGAACTTGTTTGACAGTCTTTCAGTTTTGTTTTGTTTGTTTGTTTGCTTTTTAAATATATTTTATTGATTTTTTTTTTGCAGAGGAAGGGAAATGGATAGAGAGTTAAAAACATCGATCAGCTGCCTCCTGCACACCCTCTACTAGGGATGTGTCCGCAACCAAGGTACATGCCCTTGACGGATCAAACCTGGGACCCTTCAGTCCACAGGCCAATGCTCTATCCACTGAACCAAACCGGTTAGGGCTCAGTTTTGGTTTTTAAAGAGCATTGCAATTAGGCTTTGTTTAACAGGGCATTCTTTTTATTAAATCATTTAGTACAGTCTATTTTCCAGAAATATTTTATGCTAATAGTTTTCAATTTGATGCTAACCAAAAATGAAAAGATTAGCAGGACATTTTGGAACTCAAAACTATATTTTAAAATAGTACTTGTCAACTGAAAGAGCACAAAAGAAAAAACAATGCAAAAAAAAAAGCCTTTAAAAAAATGAATAACAGTGCTGTCAGCAAATACTTAGTCAAATCAAAGAAGAGAACCAAAATATTACCAGACCATGGAAAAATCAAGAGTTTCAAGAAGAAAAGTGAAAGGAATGCTACAGAGAAGCCAAAGATGAGAAAGTCTAAAAGTGACAACTGCATTTGTGGCCTTCAGGAGAGCAGGGCCAGAATCCAAAGCGAATGAGATTAAGCAGGTGAGAAGCTTAATGGGGTCTGTTTGGAAGAATTTGAAGGGGAAGGGAAGAAGGACAAGCTAGTAGCTCAACTAGCCAGCAATTTCTTTGGAATGGTGACCTTGAACATGCTCACAAGTAGAGAAGCAGATGCTTGTTGGGAGATGCCATCAGAGGTAGGGAGGGTGGAGTCAAAGGTCATATTAGGTGGAAAGTAGGAGGAAAAGTTTTTGCTCCTGCATACTGGGAAATAGGAGGTGGATGTGTGAGGAAGAGACATTCTGTGCTGGTAAGGCTGTGGAGACAGAGACAGACAAAAAGTGGATGAAACAGAGAGACACAGAGACTCAGAGGCTGAAAAGACAGGGCGAGAAACAGAGATTGGTAGCTGTTGCAGGAAATATGAGTCCAACATTTGTTTAGAAATCCCTTTAGATGCCAAGAGCCTATATTATCCTCTCTCCTCCAATCTGCAAAGGAGATATATAGAATAGCTCTGCCTGGGGTTGAATAGAAACTACCTATGACTTCCCAATGGGGTCAGGAGGGCATCCCTTGTTTTTAAGGCTAAGACTTTGTATCCCAAACCTGATGGTACCCAGGCAAGCCAGCTCCCGGTTCTGGAAAGGCTCTCAGAGCTTCCTGAAGAGACAAGGGGTTTAAATGCTATCAACATTTTAGAGGGAGAGCCAAGAAGGATCCCAACCAGGGATTTTATTCTCATGACTGTTATTATTCACAAAAGCCTGCACAGCAGATCTTGGAGTAATGCTTCCTCAAATGAGCTCCAGGAGCATCTGCCGACTTGATGAAGAATCTGATGCCATCAAAGCACAAGCCAGTGATGACTCACCGCAAACTGTTGTTGAGCGTTGCTGAGTGCAGCAGCCCTCCGTGGCATGGTCGCTCCCAGCCTGGGCCCGGGAGCCCAGAAGCACTGGGAGAGAGACAGCAGGGAGAGGCTCTAGTTTGGGGCATATTTCTTGATTCTCCCTTCTGTCCTTGGCTTCCTGCTCTTCTCCTGGTGCCTAAAACCTTCGCAAGGCCGTGTTTTGAGAGTAGCTGAGCCAGACACACACCCTCCCCCTGTTAATCTTGAGGTTTGTCCAGGGAAGATCAGTTATGAAAATAAAGGATGGAGTCTGTACTTTACTCTTCCAGCTCTTTCCTCTTTTTTTGAGACCTAAATACTCGGGAATTATCTTACAGCACAAGGAGAAAATTGACACATCACAGAAAAGCCATTCTTTTCCACCATGTTTTCAACGGCATGAGGCATGCTTCATCTTAACCAGGATTCCAGGGCACTGACCTAGTCTTGCTCATTGGAGGCCAGTCCCTCCCAGGGGTCTGTATGCAGGCAGAGCCCTGCCCTGGGGCCTCCACGCCCAGAGCTCACTCTCCATCACTCCCTTTTCTACCTAAATTTAGCAATGTGTTGTTACAAAAGCCTCCTGTGGTTCCGTGCCCCACTAAGCCCTGCAGCCTCCAGTGTTCTCTCTTCACCTCCCCCAGCTGCTTTCCCTGCCTGTCATTCTCTGTCACCTCCTGGCCTTTTCATTCCTGCCCCCACCAACTCCTCCACTTCCTTCCACTTTCCTTTTCATTTCTCTTGCCTGCCAGCTCCCTGATTCCTTTTCCTTCCGTGCCTCCTCTCTGTCCTTGGAGTCTCTCCACTGACTTTGCCCTTTCTATCCCTTTTCAGACAATTAGCTATGACGTCTTCAAACTGTTCATGAGGGCATATCTGGAGGTGGACCTGCCCCAGCCACTGAGCACGCACCTCTTCCTGGCCTTCAGCCAGAAGCCCAGACAGGAGGTCCCTGACCACCCAAAGGAGGGGACCAGAAACAGTGAGGCCAGCGCCCCAGGTACATAGACCAGCATTCTATGGAAGAGAGGTTTTGCAGCTCTGACCCACTTGCCACAGGCATAGTAGTTTCCCTATGGAGTATGACTGGGGAACAGGGGGCCAGACCTCCTTTCTTCACTGTACCTCAGAGGAAGTCCTGTCTGATGGATCTCTCAGTAAGGGGGTGGGGCATAATTCTTGCCACTCAGGATCTGAGGGAGGATGGGGGAAGAGGAGCACAGGGGGAGCCTTCCACAAAGGCTGCCACATCCAGCTAGTGTGCCCAGGCTGCAACCAACCTGGGAGTGTCACAAAGGTATGGTCTGGTCACTGTTTCCTGGAACTTGGATTATAATGGGGAAAACACAGTAAACCCCAACAACTAAGCATGAACCGAGCTGACACCCAGAGACACAGATACAGCCCAAGTGATCCAGACCTCGAGGAAGCTCCCCTCCCTGCCTCTCTAGGAAGCTGGAGATGTGCGCTGGCCTCTAAATCTTCTTTGTTCTTCAGATTCTAATATACAGAATGTGGATAATGCTGCCAAAGCCGATGAGGCCTGTGCCCCTGATATGGGTAAGTCTTTGGAATGCAAGATTTGGGGAGGAGGGGGGAAGACCTCATTCTTGAGGCGGCGGGGGGAACCTAACCAGCAGTTCTGTCTCCATGTAATCGTATGCTCCTGAGCAGATCCTGTCTGCCTCCATCTCTGGGGTCCCTGCCATGCAAATATACTGGGACTCTGAGGCTGGATGACAGTTCTTGGGCTAAGGTACAGATGACTCTACCAGTAGGTGGCTGGAGGGGGGCAAAGCAAGAAGGTAAGAGTTTGCTTTGGTTAAATTCCAACAGCATTCATAAATGCAGGTTTGTGTAAGATGGGAGGAGGGGCAAGGGAAGTTGGCTAACATTGTTTTGAAGATCTATTTGCCAGGTACCTCCTTTATTATAGATTTCATTTAGCCTTCATAGTCATACCACCTTCCACATTAAGGAACTGAGGCTTTAGGAATTTATAAGCCACTCTATGACCTGCAGAGCTAGGGATTCAATCCAGAATTATCTAACTCCTATATTCCTGCTCTTTCCTACAACATCTCTGTGCCACAGTTTCCCCATCTGTAACATGAGATGATAATGTGTTGATATGAAGGTTGAGTTTTATGTATTTTATGTATTTAGGTGCTTAGCACAGCACCTGAATCATAGTAAATGTTCAATAGATATCAGCACTTATTATTCAGGCCACCTCTCTAGAAATGCATTTTTAATTGTTTTTTTAAATTATAATTGATATACAATATCATATTACTTTCAGGTGAGTATGCTTTACTCTTAACTCATCATTGTCTGCCAAGATCTCCTTCAACCTGCACCTTCAGTTGCCAAGCATATCTATTGGGCATCCGATTTCTATGGAAGGGTTCTCAGGGGCTCTCCTCCTTCCAGCTTCTCTTGAGGCTTTAAATACAAAGAGTCAGAGAGTCAGGCCTAATTTTCTGCACATTATTGTCTGGAAAATATTGAGTCATATTGATGAGCTCCAACTCTTGGGATGTGTCCAGGGAATACAGAATACAGTTTTATTGTATCTTTCAAATCTATATATATAAAGCCGTCAGACAGGTAGCCATGATGCGCACTGACCACCAGGGGGCAGATGCTCAACACAGGAGCTGCCAAGCTGCGGTGACTTGGCATCTGCGGTTCTCAGGTGACACACCTGGAACCAGAGCACCCAGAACCAGAGAGGAGGGAGCCCCATTCCAGGGTGTGTCGCCCAAGAATTGCCCTCTCGCAATCCAGGACCCCTTGGGGGATGTCATTTCAGATGACAATTGTGGAAAGGTGTATTGGTAAATGATCAATTATTTGGATTTTGTAATCTGAGCCAAAGTTACCTTTATAAATTGAATGTGTGCCTCCAAAAAATAGGTTAAATGGTATTGATCTGTTGGTTACTGATATTACTAAAAATTACTATCATCTTTTCTTTTTTTAAAATAATTTTTTATCTTTATTTTTGAGATTATTACAGATAATAATTTTTTCTCCCCATAGCTCCCCTCCACCTGGTTCCCGCCCCACCCAGGCCTTCACCACCCTATTGTCTGTGTCCATAGGTAATGCATACATGCATATGAGATCTTTGTTTAATCTCTTCCCACTCCCCCACCCCCCTTCCCTCTGAGAATCGTCAGTCTATTCCATTTTCATGCCTCTGATTTTATTCACCAGTTTATTCTGTTCATTAGATTTCTTATTTGTTTGATTTTTACATTCAATTGTTGATAGATATGTATTTTTTGCCATTTTGTTGTCCATATTTTTTATCTTTTTCTTCTTCCTTTTCTTAAAGAATACACTTCAGCATTTCATATAATACTGGCTTGGTAGTAATGAACTCCTTTAGC